GGAGTGTGATTCAATCAGATTTGCTTTTGCAAGAGATTGTTGACTCTAGACTTGACAGAGTGTGTCTGGGTCATGCCAGTATTCCCAGCCTCAGGTAGGGACTCATGCTACCTCATATTAGGAAGTCAACACAGGCTCAATGTTGAATGAACAGAGGAAGGAAAGAATCATTACAATGTGGATCGATTATTGCTTTTTCAGGAGTATTCCTTTATTCAGGAAGGGCAATTGCCAGATTTAATGACCGATGGGAATTTGTCAGGTTAATTTCACAGTAATACGCCCTGCATGTCACCTCTGCTCCAGGTGCCATTGTGCAAAGGCCATACAATGAGTTCTTTTTGTGTGAGGATCCCGTAACCTATATTTGCCTTTTAGCTAGTACATACCTGAGGCACTCATGGTGCCCAGGCTTCGAGAATGCGAATAATTGAACGAAAGCTTGATGTGAGCCCATATTACATAGTGGGATTGGTCAGTGAGTTAAATAGCTACCAGCTGAGAGTGTGTTCAGGGGCCCATGCTTTCAGACAGAAAGTTTTACTCAGTAAGTGGAGAGTGTTGGTGAGTCTGGCTGAGTCAAGACTGCCATTCAAGTGGAAGTCAGTTAAGAGAGTCCACTCATTGAGCGAATACCCTGTAGGCACTAAAAATCTAGAGAGAGACAAAAGCACTGATTAAAATATCGCGACAAGTACCCAAGCAGAAGGGTGTAGAGAGTGTGTTTAGGGGTCAACTAGGTAGGGAGAACCTTTGCTTTGATGCCAGAGACAGTGGAAAATAGTGAATGAAATCTAAATGTATTCCATTGGTGGAGGTTTTGTCTGAATTTATAAGGCAATGCAAATGTCAGAAAGTTATTACGAGCAGGTGGAACCACAACAGAAAATATTTCCTGAAAGCCATGTTGAAATATTTTCCAAGTGTGTTCCCACTAAGATTGTCACTAGCTTTCTCCCATATGTTCTAGATACAGGCCCCAGAGGGAGACCATCCCCCAATCTACACGTGATTAAACTAGCCATCCCCAATTTACTTTGTAACAAAAACCTCTTCAAGGAATAGCCTTAAGTTGTATGAAGAAAGGTGTAATATGACAGTGTTGTAAGAAAACAAAATATTGTAGATATTATATAGTGTAAAAATATTGTAAGAGAACAAAACAGCTTACTGTTGCTTTTGAAGTCTGTGAATCCTTTCCTGGCTACAGCAATCAAAGTGGGTGTGAGATCTGAGTAGGTAGTTTTTGTTTGGTAAAGAACTTGTACCTATATTCCAGTTAATTATAATAATATGCATTCACATATTTCTCTATCCATGGAGAAAAATACAGTTCTGCAGGATAACTTGATAATACTTTCTTTGGTGCCTCTCGAGTTACTTAAAAGAGAAAAATAATTTAGAGTAAATATTAGAAATAGTTTTGCTGCTGAATACAAACATAGAGTAAAAGCAGAGGAATAAAAAATGACATTAATTAGACCCAGGACATTTCAGAAAATGTAGTTCTTGGAAATGAATTTTTGAACAAATGGGAAATGATAAGAAAAACTGCTACAAACCATGTCCTATATTTGGAATCATTCCCTCAGGAAAATTCATATTCAAGTTCTGGGGCTTAGCATCCCTTTTCTAAGTATGGTAGACTTAATTCATTTATGGTCTAAATTTCTAATTGATCATAGATTATAAGAATGCAGAAATGAAAAAGTGACGTTTAAAAATCCTGAGAATTTAGTGCATAATTCTTGTTAATAGGATTTGAATTCATGCGTAATTGCATTTATGATCAATGTTTAATTAGAGGGTTTTTTTAAAAAAAATAAGAAATTTATGCCTAATTAAGCTTTATATGGAAGAAAGTATCAGGAATTTAAACTTTGCTATCATTCGTTTTTAAGGTAGGTTTTATCTGATCTAATGAAAAATCAAATGTTATTTTGAAAGCTTAAAAACAAATGTGCTATTTAATTTATCCTTTTTTTTTCTTTCATGGCAGATTAAATACAAAGAAAAATTTGATAACGAAATGAAGGATAAGAAACATCATTACAATCCCCTTGAAAGTGTTTCTTTTAGGCAAAGTCAGATTGCCACTGAACTGGCCAGTAATGTAAGTTACTTTGTGTCTCGTGACTTGTAATTCATAGAAATCATTTTCGATATTTTTTGATTCTTGTTTTCTCTGAATCGATTGTTTTGTAACCACTGATACTTAAACAGAATCATGTAATTTCCAAGCAATTTTAGTTGAAAACACTGAAGCATATTTTCCTGAAGCTTTGAGAAAAATGTATTATTGTAATTTGCTATTAATGTTACTGATTACTACTACTTAGTTGATAAGTAAGAAATGTATTACTAATAAAACTATTATATCTAATTGAGAGTAGAAATAGATTACAGAGTTTTGCAGAAAGATCTAATTGAGAGTAGAAATAGATTACAGAGTTTTGCAGAAAGATCGTGTGTAGTATGATAAATTAGTGGTTATAATGGCAGTTAACTCGTAATTGTGCCCATGAAATAGCACTTATTGTAAAGTGCTACCTGTTACATGGTAGCTTATCATAAAGAAATTTTCAGAAGTTGTAATGGCTTACAATTTCATTCTTATTTATTATGTAAATGCTGTGAACTACTTCACAAGATTTGTTTTCGTTTCATGTTTTTTTTTTTAATAATCAAGTTTCAATTAACAGGAAAAATGCCTTAAACTTTTATTAAAATTAGACAGAATGTCAAAACAGAAACATGGAGGAAAATCGATTACTTTGCTATAGTTGCAGGATATATAGAGAACCTTTTCAAGTGTTAAGATTAATTACTGTTGAACTGCAGCTTTGTTAGATCATTTAAACCTTTCAACTCCTGTCAGATCCTTGGGACACAGTATATCTTATTTTCATTAATGTTTATAGAAGGTATGTTTGTGTTCATTAACCAACTTCTGTTTGTCACCAGCAACCGAAATGGGTGTTTCTGTCTTTTTGGACCACCAAGAATATCAGAATGACTTCTCTTTTTCGTTTTTGTGTGTGGGAAAAACGTAAAGTAAATAGAGTTGGAATACACTTAAAGGAACCTTAGTGCCTGCTCCCTTTCTTAATATTATACCTTCGCCGTTCTGTGCCTCAGTTTCCTCATCTGTAAAATAAAGATACTTAAAGTTCCTACCTTCTAGAGTTGTAGAAATTAAATAATCAAGTATTTAGGAAAGTATTTGGCATCAGTAAGTACTCGATATATTTTATATTATATTTAATTATGATTACCGATATTATATTTCCAAAGCAATTAGTAAAAAAAGAGACTATATGTCAATAGCATGAAAAATACCAAAAGCCTTAAAATTGCCACAAAGAGTAATTGAAATATGGTAGTAATTTCTAAAGAATAAAGTAGAAATTTCTTTTAGCTTTTCAAAGCAGAATTTCTGTTAAAATTACATGATTCTGTTTAATCACCCTTTCTGAATATGTAAACAATCCAAAAAAGTATCAAAATATTTCCAGATCCCTAGAAAGAACTTTTTTGACTCATTCAGTAGTAAATGAGCACCATCTAGTGGCTACTTGCAAATTCATCTGTCAATTTACGACTGACTAGTACTTCGTAACGTGTTAAACATGATCCTGGCAATAATGCAAAAGTTTAATATTTTCTTCTCCTAGATGGTATTTTGTTCCATGTTATTTTCATAGGTGAAGTACAAGAAAGACATTCAATCCATCCATGATCCAGTTTCAGATCTCCCAACCTTGTTTTTAGACCATGCTTTGAAAGTCAGCAAAATGCTCAGCGGTGTAAGTCGGTTGTTTGATGGCAGCTGTAGATGTCCTCTGGTTCCTTGGAGCCGATGTGCCCGCAGTGCTCATCATCAGTGCACCTGCTTCCTTGGGTGTGCCTGGGCATTGCTGCTCCTTGAATAACTAACTCACTGAAAAGTAGTAATCTGCTTGCTCACATCCCACCAACGCTGTTGCCTTACAAAGTTTTTTTTTTTTTCCAACTCTTTAATATCTCTTGAATGCAAACTTTCTTGTTGAACAACCACACTTCAAAGTGTTTGGACAAGTGTTCTTCCTGCCTTTCTTCTTCCCCTTTCTTCCTCTGTCTGTATTCGATTGAAGCCACTTAAAAGTCAGATTCTTAAGTCAGACACCTTTTGATTTTATGCAGGGCAGAGTGTGTGGTACTTACTAGGCCTCAGTAACATAAAAAAAAAAAAAAAAAAGTCTTAGTCTAATTTGTATTTTCTCTGAAAATAAATCCTAAAGGTGTTTGTGTTGAGACAGGGCTTTTCGTTTTGTGAAGATTCCCATGTTTTTTTTCAGTGCAGCCAGGAAGGGAGAGTGATTTCTTGATCTCCTGATGAAAATATCTGGGTACCCTGCCAAGTGGTCATTCCATCGGAACTCGGCTCCTGCATACTGTTTCAGACACTTAGAGATGTCACCGACTCTCATAACTGATGGCCCGGCTCACCCGAGCCTCCCATTTCCTACATCTCAGGATGCCCCATGGTGATGAGCAACCCTAACCTGACCTCATGTATTTCTTTGCCTATTTTAATAATTGCTCGCTTGCTCACTCAAAATTATCCATATTTATTGAATACCTGCTTTGGGCCAGGTACAGATCAGATGGGAAAATGTGCCGGGCAAGGAATGTGGAAAAGTGCAAAGAGCTGTCTTTAGGAGATGTGCCCTGAGTCAGGGATTTAAAAACAAACAAACAAACAAACAAACAAATGAACAATAAACAAACAAACCTGTAGTTAAAACCTGGTTCCCAAACTATTAAATAATGAGTTATAGCTTCAGTGTCTACCCCGGGCTTCGATGTATTGAAACTTCTGTTTATAATGTCATAACCCTCTTTGCTCCACCATTGCCACCATTGTCGTCCTTCTGGCAATGCATTATGCATCTAAATCATTCATGCTCATAGAGATTTTAATTCATTAATGTTGTAAATTGCTGGACCTTGCAGGAAAAACAGCTCGTCATTCTGTCCAGTCTGTGGAGCAGAGAAGGGAAGTTAGAGAACTGTCAGGCCCAAAGGTAGACCCAGTCCCTGGATCCATCCTTCACGTGGTCCTGCAGTTCCGGAGCTCACCCCTGCAGCTCCACGCGCATCCCTCTCTCCCCTACGTGGCTCCGTTTCAGTTCCGTGTTTTCCTCCATGACTCATAGGTGTGCTTCTAAAATCCACGTATGTTCATTTTCTGAGCTGCTTTCTTCACGTTCAGTCGTTGGCATCCAGTTTTGATCCTTGCGCTGGCATTTTGCCTTTGGCTATTCCTCATCCATGCTTAGGTTTAAATTTCTGTAGGATGTGAGAATTCATGTAAATAATACACGAATTTATTGTAAATAATACAGTAAAAATATCATGGTGGTAATTTCACAATTCGGTAGCTGGAAGGATGCATGCCACTCAAAGGCAATATTTCTTTTCAAGAGTATTGACCTTTATTTTATAATAATGGTGAAAAAATTATAGTTTAATATAAATTATAGTTTAATAATGGTGAAAAAATTATAGTTTAATATAAATTATAGTTCAATAAAAAATTATAGTTTCTAGCATCTCTTCAACAGAGAAAACCCACCAAAGTCTCCTATATTACCTTTATTTTATATACCGTTTGTAAAGTTTAAATCTTTGTTTCAGTGGTGCTTTTGCCTATATTCTAAACATTTTGCCCCATAGAAAAATTGTGACTTAATGATTCCTTTGTGGAAGAGAAAGTTTAAGATTCAATAAACGTGTTACGCTGAGGTATTAAAGTTGTATGATGCTACATTGGCTCAAACTGATTATACATTAGAATTGCCTTCTGTTAAATTTTAATGTAATGAGAATTGGAATTTTGTTGATTTATAAAGGCAACTTAATTTTATTAAAACATTGACTAAAAGAATGCTTAATAAAAAGACATTCAGCCCAAATTAGTTGTCGGTTTGTTATAAATGGCTGTTTTTAAAGACTTCTAAATCTCTTTGGTATAAATCATAGTTTTTTTTAAAATTTTAACACATAGTGAAATTAGTGCTTATGCATTTGTACAGCCATACTAATTAAATTTTTGAGGGAACATTTTCCCCTGGAAAATAGAGCTCTACTAGCTTTCAGTTTCTTTTATAACTGCATAAATTTAAAAAAATATATATATTTGTGTTACTGTCAATAACTCTCACTAGGAGGCAGCAGAGACTATTATATAAGGAACAGCAAGTATTAAAAATTCTTTTGCAGATCTTAGTTCAAATAGGTTGTTTATTTTATTTTAACTTTTTTAAAAATAGGAGTTTCTGAAATTCTCTGTAACTAACATAGATCATTGCCTTGGAGATAGTATTTATTGAACTTTTCTCAGTGTATATCCATTATTCCAGACATTATTAGTTCTGGATTTTAACTCAGTATGGCACATGTTTTAGCTTGTTACATTTAATTCATAACATTTTATGAACATATATTATATATCATATATATTACAAAATAACTTCTAATCAAATGATAAAATCTCTAAGCATTTTGAGATGCCGATGATGATGATGATGATGATGATGATGATTTAATTAGCAGAAGAGCCAAAATTCAGAACTTGTTCAAAATGTGCTATGTGAATATTTTCATAAGCTTCCTGGGGCTTTTTCTCTCTCATTTTATTGTAGTTAGAGTTTTGGGGGACACATCTTAGTGTCCTAATTGCCTGAAGGCACCTCTGGGACCAGTGCTATATCCCATTGGAACAGCAGTTCTCATGTGCATCCTTCACCCCTCCCATCCCCAACACTGCGCCTTCTTCCTGTTTCACGCCCAGATGGCTGGAGACTCTGCTAACACCCGATGCCAATTTCGTTATGGCAGATCTTTCCTGCTCCCTTTCAAATGCTGCTTACCTCTCCCTCACTCTCCACAAAATGACCCTTTTCACTGAAATCCTCGTTGCCTAATAAGCAACCAACTTCAGCTTAAGTCTCTGTAGTGTTGAGTCTTGAGAGTTACCATTTACCTCTAAAAGTCTTCCCCAAATAGGGCAGAGTAAGTGTCCCATCTCTAATGATAGAAATTATGAAGTAATTTCTGTATTACTGCTGCCTCTGTGAGCGCTACAGTTGCCAAAATTGGTGTCTTTATCCATTCTGGTCAATTCCAGATTCCCCCGTGCCCCCACACATTTTTTTTTTTGTCTGTATGTCTAAGCAGTTGTCATTATCCAATTTCTTACCTTAAAAATTCAACCAACTGTACCCAGATTCCTCGATGCTCTTCTGGGCACCTCTTACCCTCTCCTTTTAGGAAAATGAGTTGAACCGTTTCTCACTTTTCTCTCACCACCAGTCTTCCTCCTGGCCGAGCCCTTGTATACAACTTTTTGTTCTTCTGCCTCTAGCTTTGCTTTCCTCTGTTCTTCTCTCAAAGAGGCTGTTCCACGCCTTCCTGGTTTAGGATGAGGGAAGGGCAGATGGCTTCTATTTTGCCCACCTTGCCTGTTCACTCGAGCCCCGTCACTGGCTTTTCCGCTGCCACTCACCAGTGCCGTGGCTTTTACCTTGTGTTTACAGCTAGTTGTCCTCTGCTTCTCACGACTGTTTCGTTTGCTGTTCCCACTGACCACTGAGAGCTGGTCTGGGTGGCGTTGTCGGTTTATCTCAGTGTCTGGAAATACCTGCGGATGGGGACTCGATAGCCGCTTTACAGCTCTCATTGGCTTGCGTTTTTCAGTTTCTTAGTTGCTCTAATCGGCCACTTTTATTCTGAATTTCTTTTTGTGTTCTCTGTTTTAGCGAGAGTATAGAAAGCTTTTTGAAGAAAATAAAGGAATGTATCATTTCGATGCGGACGCTGCGGAACACCTGCACCACAAAGACAATGCCAAGCTCCAGAGCCAGGTACGCGGCCTGCCTGTCTGGACCCGCTCAGGTGCAGCTGCTGAAAGACGCATGCGTCCACCTGAGAAAGCGAACGTTGCTCCCCAAAAGCTCAAACTCTCTTTCTTCTATATTGAGTTGGTGAAGCATGAACCATATTTCAATGTAAAGGCATTTTATAACATAACAGTAACTTCGCACAATTTAAAACTTCCAATATGTGAATTAATTAAATGATCAGATCTCATGATGATTTCAATTTTTAGAGCGTACTGATTTGTGTACATTTATAGTATACATTTTTAGCCGCAGGATTACTTTTCCAGGCACAAAGCTTATTAAATTCTCAGTTCAATTATAAGTGTTACTGAAACAGGAAAATTATGTTACTAGTGTATGCTACATTATGAAATTCTATTTACACCCTGAAAGAAATTTTTAAAAGACCTTCTTCCTTGCACACTTTAAAATTGATATCAATGTATTTTTTTTTATTCTGAGTTACAATAGTTGCAAAAGATGTCATGACAGCATCTATTAAATTTTATATCATTCTTTTAAATGCATCTCATGGAATATGCATTCCTTAATGATTTAATACCCACCCTCATTTATTTAAAAATACACAAACCAGCTCATCTTTAAGGTTTGGAAATGTATGGTTTTTTTTTCTCTTTGCATTCTTATTTTTATTTCATTTTTCCCATAAAAATTTATTCTAATATAGTATATTTTAATGCTTTGAACCCTTTCATTGGTCACGTATCATCCTTCTTTGAAATAAAGATATGCCTACAAGATATGGAAGCAACCTAAATGCCCATCAATGGATGATTGGATAAAGAAATTATGATTCATATATACAATGGACTATTAGTCAGCCATTAAAAAAATGAAATCCTACCATTTACAATGACATGGATGGACTATGGACCTAGAGGTTATTATGCTAAGTGAAATCGGTCAGACAGAGGAAGATAAATACCACATGATTTCACTTATATGTGGAATCTAAGGAACAAAAAGAACAAACTAATCAAAAACAGACTCATAAATATAGTGGACAATTTGGTGACAGACAGAGGGGAGGGGGTTGGGAGGCTGGGAGAATGGGGTGAAGGATTAATGAAGTACAAATTAGTAGTTGATAGTTGGTCATGGGGATGGGGAGCACGGCAGAGGGAATGCAGTTAGCATTAATATGATGGCTAGGTGGAAGGCCAGGGGAGGGAGGGAGCAATCAGGGGAATCATTTTATCATCAATGTAGAGGTCTAACCAATGTACTGTATACTTAAAACTAATTTAAATAAATAAATTTATTTAAAAAATTATGCCTACAAATACGAATTTTAAAATTTGTTATATTTTCTGCCACTATGAAGTTCTAAGTATAAAAAAATTTCTTTTGGATTTTATTATCATTAAAATCATTGTTATTATACAACTTAAGAAGCAATTTTAAAAATAATTATTAAATATAAGAACATTAATGAAAATACATTTCTGAATGAAATGAATCATAGTCAAAACTTCAATGTATTGAATTAAAAAAGGTATGTTGCTAAAAAGTCAGCCTCTTTGACAGTTTACATATAGTTTTAGATTTTGTTATTAGTATATGGAAAATATGGATCATTTTCTAAGCTGAAATAAGATAAGGATTGGTTGTAATGGAAATAAAGAATTCATAATACGATATTATTAAATAATGTATATGAAACTGAAAAAAATCACATAAAAGTTCTACATGTTTAACTCAATGTCTGTGGAAAAATTTAGCAGTGTCAGAGAACATTGTCCTCCCTTTGATAGAAAGATAGAGAATCACATCTATGTTTTCCTTCTTGTTTTTGACTTACTGATGCACATTCCAAGGTATCACAAGGCGCTCGCTCTGTCTTACTCTCTCTCTCTTTCTCTCTCTCTTTCTCTCTATATGTATACCATATGTGTATCAGCTATTTAAGTACTTTAATCAAGTTCTAGAATTACATTATTTAGTAATTTTAAATTATTGTATCCCTTAAAAAACTATGTATCTATAACCTGCGTACTTTCTTTATATGTCATTAGCCACAGAGAACCCAGAGATCAACCTAAATGCGATTTTAGAAAATAGGATGATTAACTTTGGACATATTTCTTTTATGTTGCTCTATTTGTATAAAGGTTCATAAGCTTTATATGCTTTTTATACTGTTTTCAATGAAGGTTAAGTACAAAGAAAAATACGAGAAAAATAAAGGGAAATCGATGCTTGAATTTGTTGAGACACCATCATATCAAGCTTCAAAGGAGGCTCAGAAGATGCAGAGTGAGGTGAGTCCCTTTGGTTTGTTATCAGTTGTTTAATGCATATTTGACATTTTATCATTTGAGAGGAACCAGGAAAGGGGTTCAGAATGTTAAGTGGGTTTAGAGAACCCTGCACGGGAAGACCCAGGGAATCTGCATTCTAGACCCAGGCACCTTATCCGGGCCATTGAGATCCTCTGGTCCTTAGTTTTTCCCATTTGGTAAATGTGGATATCAGGCCAGATGAGCCTGTAACGTCCCTCTCGCATTCTGTGATTATAAAAGTGACACTTTGTAGTTGTGTCCATGTAAAACCTATGATGAGCAGAAAAAAAAAAAAAAGAATAGCAAATGAAGAACTGGTTGCTTTATTTACTTTTTTTTTCAACGACAATAAAACTAACATTTATTAAATACCCTGTGCTGAGTAATATACTAGATAGTTTATATTTGTCAGCTCATTTAATTCTCTCAAGGTAATGATGCTAGGTGGGCATTATCCTTAGACTAGTAATGCATCTATTGATATTAATTGTCTTACCTAAAATTAGGTATCCAGCAAATGCCAATGTTTTAGGACCTGGTCAAAGTTATAAATGATTCTCTTCTCTGTTAGCTTATTTAATTGATTCCCTCCCACCACCCTACCAATAAATAGTGACATGGAAATTTTAAAATATCATGAGAAGAAGAGATCAATTAAATTTTTTTCTCTACTTATCCACTTTTTTTCTCTACTTAAGATGATGCTAAGTCACACCCAAGTACTCCCCATACTGGTTTTACTCTGTCTCAGTGAGATTTCTTATGTTCTGTTTTTTTTTTCTTTTTTCATACTTTTTTGGGGGTCCAGACACCAGATACAGAAGGTTTTGTCTGCAGCCAACATCTTGAATACTTTGGGTACAACCAAGTTATTATTTTAAAGGGACAGAAATAGTGGGCAGTAGTATCAGCCGATTATAACTCCAGTGCTTCACTCCAGACGTGCTCAGTGGGCAAGATCTTTTCTGTTCTCTAATAACAACAGCAAAACAAGGTGAAACAATAACTTCTGGACAATAAAACTCTCATAGGAATTTTGTAAACATTGTGCTGTTTGTTGAGATGCTGTAATTCATCTTCGCAGGGAAAGGGCACTCAGACATCACCGTGGCTTCTTGAATAGTCTCGGTTGCTTAATTTCTTCTTCAAGCAAGAGAAGAGAAGATAATTACTTATATTTTTCATGTCTTATATCATCTTAATAAACCCTGCCCCCCCCAAACATGTGGATATTAGCTTCTTAAAGAATCAGTGGGCAAAGTAGACTAAATTGTCTTTATTTACATGAAATTTAGTCAGTTGATTTTTTTTCCCTTTGGCAACAGACCCTCAAATGAGAAAAGATTCCCCAAGTACAAATTTCACTGCACAGATGACAAGGACTTTAAAGGTGTCCTGGACACTGAAAAAAGTGCCGTGCATTCCGTGTACCATCTTTTCTTGTGTGGATCTCGAAATCTGTAGCTAGCACTTGTTTTTTTACCATTGCTGTGACCCCACAGAAGACAAGGAAAATTAAATGTTGACAACTAACAAAAAAATCTGTCAGATGAACTCAGTCATTGCTTTTGGTTGGCTGTTTTGACACCAGGTGTAAATCAGCTTTAATGTTTAACTGTAGTTATGTGTTTATTATATGCTGTGGAATCCACTTACAGTGTGTGCCTTTGTTAATATTGGCTTTCAGTTTTTGCTATTCTGATTTCTGGTGTTGTCACTGGGGGGAGTTGTCTTTTGCAGAAGCTGATACATGTTTCCCTTTAATTATAGCCATTGACTTGTAGTTTTTTAGGCTCAGCAATTATGTTTCTGCTCAGCAGAGCTTGAGGAAAAAGAAATCTTCCAATAGGAAATATCTTTGGACCAAATTTATACTATAAAGAGCTATACTATGCAATTTATTCCATGTAATTTGGCATTTAAATTTTCTGCTAGAAAAATAAAATATCTAAACATCTTAGTTAGACAAAGTTTGACATGAAAGATATCTTTACATGTGGGACCTGTGAAGCAGACACAAAGAAAACCATGTGGTGCTTACCCCTAAGAGGTAAACTTGACCATGAGCTTTTGAGATCTTATTGACGATCGCAGGAAAAGCTACTCGTGTATTTATTATAGCCTCCAATTATGCTGCTTTCACTTCCTTCTAATACCAGATGTAGGTTGAATCAATGTTTTCTAGAAATCTCTAAATCTGGTTTTGAACAGTTCTTTGTCTTCAGTTTTACAAATAGACCTCCCCTAACAAAAAGCAGACTAAAGTTGTTTTTTGTTTTTTTTTAAATATTGGCCAGTTCTAGTTATAATCAAAGTAATGACTTACTTAACAACTTACGTCAGTAAAATAACTTTTTTTTAGAGGATAAAGCCTTTTTGAAGTGAAATATCTGAAATAAATAAACACATATATTTATATTTCACTTTTTTAAAGAGTCTTTTTTTTTTTTTTTTGGCTTGGAAATGCCCTGGATTTACCCCTATAACTATACTATCTCAGTTAATTTTACCTAACAGGAGAACATCTCAATACTGTTCTTAGGTGTGTCTATCGTTCCTTTAATTCATAATATTCTCAATGCAATTTCATAATTAGCTTTGTTAGTTTTAGTATTTACAGAACATCCATTCTGACCTTTTCTCTGGCTCTATACCTAGATCATTTGTTAAACGGCCATATGTAACATAAATGCAGGTGAAGAGACACACGGCCTGTTCTCTTATCCTCCCTCATGGTCCGGAACATTTCTTCATACAGTTACCTGTCTCTGTGATAAGTACATAATGAACCTGGCAATAGCTTTTCATGTTGCATTCATAACAGTCTCATGCACAATTTATTTATTTTTGTCATCTTTGTGATACAATTTGAAAAAAATATCTAGCCAGTAAAATCTGAGCCCTCGTTTGGTGAATATTTTCACATTGGATGGATATTTTCGTTATTTAGAGAGACTGTCTTTATAGTCATAAAGTGTGCGTTTTCATTGATTTTCAGTGGCTGAGTGTCAGAGGGGCAGGTGGGGGTGTGCATTTTAGTCCTTTACGATCACCGTCAGCATCTTTCATTTCTTGGTGGGAACTCTTACCTAAAGAACCATTTATCAGCTTCAAGATAAGATTCTCTCCAAAGTGTAACCTGATTCATGTCACACAAACAAGAAGTATCCTGAATGCCAAGATTATTGAAGGAAAATCTAACCCTTCAGCTTCCATTGCATTTTAGAAATGGTCTTTCCCAAATTCTCAAAACATTGACAGTAGGAGAGATGATGAGAAAGCGAACATTATTGCTACTTTGGTTTCAATGGTCTTCTGTGCTGCCAGATTTTCTTCCAGTGGATGGATCGACTGCCTTTTGAGTGAACCAGTCAGGTGATCCAATCACATAGCCCACTTTATAGGTTCTCCTATATCAGACAATAAAGGACCATTTAGACATTAAGCGGCCTCAGTCAGGATGTTCTCCCAGAGGATGTCGGTACTTGATGATTCTGATTTTATTTGGTAGAATTCTAAAATTTATGATGAAGTTGGAGTTATTTTCCTGTTGATAAGAAGACTCTGAGGTGGTAGAATTATATAAAAAAAACTCATCGATTTTATTTCAAGGACTCTCGTTCTAACATCTTTTCAACAGTCTCTAATATTTTCTAAATTTAAAACGATGCTGTCTTATTTAACAGAAAGTTTACAAAGAGGATTTTGAGAAGGAGATTAAAGGAAGGTCATCACTGGATTTAGACAAAACTCCAGAATTTTTACATGTAAAGTACATCACCAATCTTCTGAAGGAGGTATGATCCTGCTATTTACCACTAAATATTGCAAAAGAAGACTAAAAACTAAAGAAATAACCCTGGCAATATTTACTTAACAATTCTCTACTAAGTCAGTGAGTTTCAGATATTAATCCATTCCTCCTTCTCTCACTTTGACTTCTACTAATAGTTTTTTAATTTTTATTTTTATTTTCATAGTAGAGCCAGCCCTTTCTGTAACTTCCCTGTAGCATTCTCATGACATTTGATATCAGAGACGAGGTGATCATGTGTGAAAGTCTGGATAAATGGTACATTATTTATAAGTCTGGATAAATGGTACATTATTTATAAGTGATTCATGTCCTTAGTAGGGAAAAAATAATGTTTTTAACGGATAGTACACAGGAACTCATGTCCATTTTTTATTTTATTCTCAGCAGGTTTTCCCTCCAAATTTAGTAGTACATTTAGTTCACAATTAGTGTATTAAATTTATTTTACGTTAAGGTCCTCACATCTAACAATTAGCGATACCATGCTCACAGTCCATCCCGTTAAAAATTTTGTCTTTTTTTTAAAAAAAAAAATGGCTACAAAGCAACTTGGAACTCTTCCAACTCTTTGTTTAAATAGATTCTCTTTACATTAAGAGGTGTTACTCCATTTCATCCTGAATTTTGAACTGAAAGAAATCAGTTCTGAAAGAAAGGTCTTAAACAAGTGAAATAAATTTGTATAATTACCTACATAGATGTGTATCATCATGAACTTCTTAAAAACTAAGTGCCAACTGGCCTTTACCATTTAACTGCTTTTATACGTTTAATACGGTTCACTGTTATAATGTATATTGAGCTGAAATAGGCATGTGATTTATGGAAGAGTTCTCTTGCTACTTTATCTTTTCTCATTTCTCATTCCTATAAAATATTTTGAAGTTGAAGGCGAATCAAATGCCAACTTCCTACTATTCTTGTCTTCCATTTTAAGAAAATATGCAGTATTTTATGTGAATTTTTCAAAGGGGACTTTTTTCATCATTTACATACACATGACAATGTGAGATCTATTTCGAGATCCAAAATGACTTTAATATAATACCATTGCGTTTTTCTTTTATTTCTCTTTTTGAGCGAATTTTTTTTTTATTGATACAGCTTATATATTTCACGATAGAAAACAGTCCCAGAAGAGTATCATTAAAAATCTTTTAATTAGGTTAAAGAGATGTCGAATTTTAAAAAGGGACTCTTAGTGACCTAAAGAAATGGTAACTTCCTTTTCTAAGTATAAGCATTTAGCTTTAAATTGTCTGTGCATTTTTTATTTTATTATGGTTCGTACATTTATGCTGATGTTTAGAGTGTTCTAGTATCATTTTATACTTCATTTGATTCCCCCAATTTCCCTTTAACATCAGTAGAGCAAAGTAGTTTTATTTTCATTGTGCCCATGTGGGAATCAAGGCTCAGTTACTTAAAGTCCTCTCAAGGGTCACATGACCAAATAATTGAACGAACTCTGACTTTCCTCCAGGTCATTTGACACCAGAGCTCTTTCCAAAATTACATGCAGGTCATTACAATGTCTCGTAGGCTATTAGTTAAGCAGAGGACTGGCTAATTTAATTTCATTGGACAAAGAGAAAATAATATGAAATGAACCCTAGAATTAACTGGAATATGATTTCTTATCATTAAAGGAAGTCTCATCTTTCATCCGGCAAGTTAATCATAAATGCAACTTAGTTGAATTGGATTAAGATATTTATTGTTTTCATAATGCAATTAGTAAGAAAACCAGAAATTCATTCGTACAAAAACACGAGTTACATATGCATTAGTAAAGACATTTGGATCTACTTAAAATATAATATTAAAATAGGTGAAATTCAAACTATATATTATCAGTCTGTAGGAAATCATTTGGTTTATAAATCTTTGAATAAAATGAAAAAAAATTTTTTCTTTGAAGCTTGCCTACATCAATCCTTTCGATTTTGTAATTTTCCATTCTTTTTCAACTATGTTCTTTTGGTGATTCACATTTTATGGACAGCTTTCAAAGCAATGCTTGAAATAATTAATAAGAAGCATGTATTCCTAAGATCTTCCTCGCAATTTAAAGGGAAAACATCTTTTTAAAAGCATGGAACCAATATGATACCAAAATATATTGGAAGAAAGGATGAAAGAGAAAAGACTTATTTGGAAGCCACCCTAAACATTAAAAGAGAAAATTTGTCTGTATGAAATAAGGAATATGAATGCTCAGGTGTCTGGTTCATTCCTTTCTAGAGGTAGTTTCTCTTTTCTATGGTCTCTAGAAAACATGTAAAACTATCTATACGTTAAAGAGCTTCCCAGTAAATTTCAAACTTTAATATTCTTGTCTTACAGAAGGAATATAAAAAAGATTTGGAAAATGAAATAAAAGGGAAAGGAATGGAACTTAATTCAGAAGTTCTTGATATTCAAAGAGCAAAAAGAGCATCTGAAATGGCTAGTGAGGTGAGTAGATTTATTTAACAACTGAGAATGTATGACATTTCAGCTGATTTCCTTATCTATAAATATGTCTCAAAGATTATGTATATTCCACAACTTTTATGTGTAAGATGATTATAAGCAATTATGTTCTAGCAGTCTTTCCCACTCAGTGAATTTAAAAAAAAAAACAAAAAAACGCTCACCATCTCTTTCAATGTGATATGAGAAAAATGTCTATTTCCCCATATTAGAGAAAAATCCGTACTATAAACCAAAATAAATTTATGAGATTTAACTTGATCTTTTAAGCAAGTAAAAGGCAGAGGTTTAGGACAGTGTGCTGTCGTAGTCTGTCGCTAACAGCAGTTTAAAAGTTCACAAGCTTAAACCGAACCGGCCACTCTAGTCCTTGCCTGGACTGCTGAATGAGTCCAGTTAACCCCCTTCACAAAACGAAAGTGGCTGTTGCTCACTTTACATAAAATTTATAAGAAGGAATCAAGTGCCTCTGAAGTGCTTTCAGTCCTTTATGTCATTATTATGTCACATTATTATGTGTTATGTCATTATTTTGGTATCGAATCATAGCACTGTGCTTTGAGGAGTATCTAGCTGAATTTAGCAGTGAAAAAATTCAGTGCCTGGTAAACTGTGGTGGTGATGATGATGATGGGCCCTATGAGTCAGGTTGCAAATGATAGAAACGCAGCTCATCCTGTGTTAAGCAACAAAGTAAATGTTTGGCTTACAAAGTACAAAGATCGAGTTTCCTTTAGGTTGGAATTTAAATGATGTCTCTCTTCCGTCATCTCTCAGTTCTGTTATCTTCTCTCTTGCTTCACTCTTGGGAGGCTGTCTCTACGTGGTGGCCCCTCTTGCTGATAAGATAACTCATATCTGTGGCCAGTAGGAAGTGAGCATCTGCTTCCTTATGGTTACAGTTAACATCCAAGAATTGAATCTCACTGTGGCCACCTTCTGTCCTGTGTCCACACCTGACCCAGTCATCGTGCCTATGGTCAGTGGAATGTAGTGTGCTGATGACCCAGGATGGTTCTCGCGGTCACCCATTTGCTTAGTTAACTTTGTAGTTTAACAATGTTTTAAGTATGAAATATTATACATTGTTATGTGTTTTGAAAAACTTGCCATCCATCTTTGATCATATCCATTGTTCTTTAAATAAATTAAAAGAAACATTTAAACGTATTTTAGTGGAATTAAAAGTACATGTGTAGTGCAGGGAAATCAACCCACCCAAAGTGTATGAACTGAGAGAGGTTAGAGGTAATTCCTGAAAAGGAAATTATGGAACTTTTTGCCAAAAGGAAGAGGAGTGGATGCTGGTCAGGAAAAAACAACGGATGTCCATTATGATGTCTTCGGCACACACTGTCATTACATATCTCTACATCAGTAATTTTCTACAAATTCTTTTATTATGGTGAGGTGTCCAGACCACACTCAGACGTAGATCTTATCATCTCTTGTCAGTAATACTTGGCAATACTTTTTGAAACTATCAATGGCAGAGCCTACCGCATGCGATGGAATGGCAAGATGGTGGCAGGGGCAGCAGTCGATCAGGTCTTGGTGTACAAGTATAGGAATAAAAGACCAGAAGAAGCTAACAGTTATCGAACACCTACTGTGTGCAGGGCGCTCGGCAATATGCTATCTCACGGACTTCACAGTGATCCTGCATGAGGAATTATTACCCCCATTTTGCAGATGAGTAAACCAGCAGTGTTAAGAAACATTCCCGGAGTCACACAGCTACTGAGTGTTCTGGCCTTAAAGCCAGTCTTCCTTCTGCAGCATCCGCTCACTTACAGCTGCCTCCCCGTCCTCTAGACCCTACGACAGCTGTCAGTGAAGGTTCTCACCTGGCAGTTGCCTTTTCGTAGTAAAAAGCTTCGCAGCTTTCTGTACCCTTCCTCAGTCAGAATAGGGATTATAGTCCCAAGCAGTTCAGAAAATTTAGTTCCAGGTGATCACTCATAGCACAAAGTAAGCTGTGTTTTCATCTTTTTTGTTTTTTTAAATAAATATGTTTAGCCATTTTGGTATTATTGAATACAGATATGATTGTCCCTGGGTGTCTGAATTTTGTAAAATGTAGATTTTTTTTTTTTTCCCCCAGAAAGAATACAAGAAAGATCTGGAGTCAATAATTAAAGGGAAAGGAATGCAAGTTGGCATCGACGCCCTTGAAATACAACATGCCCGAAAAGCTTCAGAGATGGCTAGTGAGGTTAGTGGGGCGAGCGATGTAGACCTGGAAATTTGTGTTTTGGAACTTAACAAATAGTAACAACTTGATTAGTATATGGAATTTTCCAAAGTTTTCCGTGACTAGTTTAATAGTTTGGAATGGGAACCGTTCTAAATCATCATGTTTATTTGAAAATTTACAGTTTTTGCTTTGCTCATCTCCCTTAAATATGTCAAAGAAAATTCAAGGAAAAACACACAAACACAGACACGCACGCACGCACACACACATCTTAACCTCATCCCATAATACAACAAATTTCACATTAATCTGGGCTACGATAAATGTTTTCATGCTAATTTTTTTTTTAAGGATAGATCATATGCTACTCGATATATCTGTGTTTCTAACTTTCTGAGCAGAACTTGAAAATAGTGTGCTAAGACTCTAACATGACATTGACAGCCATTTTTGCGTGATTTGATTGCATATTCTCAAATGTCCTCTGTGACCTTATCACCATGCTTGAAATTTCTTCAGAGTCAGCATTTGGGGTTGAGGTATTATATATCCTGAATGACCATGTTCATTTATCTAATATCGTTTCCTCTTTATGTAGTACATACAGTGACAGGATGTTAATTTAGAATTTTGACTTAGATGCTACGATATGATGGATATCAGATAACACAGTTGTCAGAGTCAGACCATGTGTGTATTTTTGAAAGGAAATACCCTAGAATTGGCCCCATACCTCTTGACTTCCCCCGTCTAATTTTAAGAATATGAAAGGGTAAGTGGGGTGGAGAGTATGGGGAAGAGACGATTTTGTCAGAAGCATATGTAGAGAAAAATGGGGTGCAGGTTAAGGAGTGCCACTTATTTATTTCAAGGCTGACTGGGGGAAGACTTCAGTGGGGTTCTCTGACAGCTATAAAATGACACTTGCAGTTAGGAAGAGCTGGCTCAGGCTTGACTCCCACCCAGGATGTCTGGAGGACGGAGGTAGCTGACGAACTGCCGAGGAGTTGCTGCTGTGTTGATATCTGTCTCTATGCCCAGGTTTAGGTACTGGCCAGGGGAATGGGATGGCCCTAATGGGTTTAGATAAAGAAGCTGGGGATGGCATAGAATTCTTGACCAATAGGGATTCCATTTAGAAATGGCAGCGGGGGATACATGCTGAACGAGCACTTAAAAACCTCCTTCACTCGGCCCTAATTCTGTTCTCCTCTTGAGAGATAACCATTGTTATAAATTTGTTGGAGAACCTTCCAGATCTTTGTTTGTGTATATATAGATAAACGTACATTTGTACACAGACTTAAAAAACTTAAATAATAAGAACTTTGTTTTGTGCTTCCTTTTCTCACTTCATATTACAGACCCTTTTCCATGTCACTTCATATGGTTAGTTATACCTAATTCTTACAGAAAAATGAGGTATTCCAGAACCTGGATGTGAATACACAACCATGTAGCTTTCATTGTCTCATAGGCATCTACAGTGTATTGTAACAGGGAGTCAACATTACTTGCCAAAATCAGAACCCTCAATTTTTCCTCGGATCTGCTTCGCTCTTCCATCCCCATCTTCACAAATGGCATCATTGAAATCCCAGAAGTCACTTTCATTCCTCTTCTCAACAAGTTTTATTGACTCCACCCCCAATGATGGTTCCCTAAACTCACCTTCTTCTCCCCACCCTAGTCCAAGCTACCATCTCGATCACGTGGACCATTACAATAGCTTCCTAACCAGAATTCTGCTTCCAATATTGTCCTCTTTGTACCCATTCTCTGCCCAGCAGCCAGAACAATCCTTGAAGAATTAAATTATGTTACCCACCCCACTCCCTCGACTTAAAACTTTCTAGTCACGTCCAGCATCGACGCCATACTCCATGTTCTCGTGTTCAAAACCTGCCTCTTACTCATCTTCTCCCCTCGATCACTGTGCTCCAGCCTTGCAGCCTTCCAGTCTGTGCCCTGCAGGTTTTAGGGTATCTGTTCAGCTCTGCTGTCTTTGCAAAAGTCCTCCCCCACCGGTCTTCGCATGGTTGGTTCTTTTTGCCCTTTCTTGTTATTCATTGCTTAGATTTAATAGTACTTTCTTACGCTGGCCTCCTTGGGCTTCCGAGTGACTGACTACACAGTAACTATCAAATTACTACTCATAAATCTCCAAATTTTTTCATTTTTGTGAGGAGGGGGTGACATCCAGTGTCAGTTCAAGGTACTAGATCGGAGCATAGGGGTGTGGGTGGGGAATTTGAGGCTGGGGAAGAGTTTTCAAAATCATCCTCATGGAACTGAGAGTTGAAGCCAAAAGAAAGTATCCTGTCACCGGAGAAAAGAATGTGGAAAGAACAGAAATTCTGTATTTCACACTTTTACCTAAAAACAGGCTTCTCCAACATATTTTACAAAAAGTTGGAATGTCACACCTTTCTTTATTATGGTAATAGATTAGTTTAATTGGACAAGATTCTGATTTAGATTTCTCTGTGTACCTTGGGACCACATGCTAAGAAAATGGAGTAAGTTTAGTTATTAAGAACCTAGGGGAAAAACAGGCCTGGAGAAGTTAGCTGTACTGTGATTATATGGAGCCCAAGCTAATTTTGGTGATGCTATTATCTTGTAATCCAAAATTTTCATTTGCATATAATCATAGCCACGTCCCATTTGCCCCATTGACAGGCTTTCAAATCCTTTTCAACTAGAATTTGGGACTTTGCCATAGTAGAAAGTTTATTTATTTATTTATTTTATTTATTATGGTGACATAGATGAACAAAGTCCAAGGTAGAGTCAATATGGTATATTTTTACATGAATGTCAAACCTTCTAGTAACTATGGGCTTGACTCTGGTTTTCTTTAGCCAATGGCATTAGCAAACATGAGACAGACAGAGGCTCTAAAAGGAAGTGGGTACTGGAGTTCGCCCTTGAAACGTAGATGTCATCATGTTGTTAAAAGCCATCTAAGTTTTAGGGTGTTTTAGTATGCATCAGTAAGTAACTGATGCGCTTTGTGTCCTATGTAGTCTTATTTATGGGCTTCAGAATGCTCTTAGATTTGGAACTTCATACTGGAAAATTAAATGACATACTTTCACCCTGGGATCTTGGTGGCTGTCTATGATGGCTGCTTTAGTTCCTACATATATCGTCCTTTGAATGAAGTATTTTGTTTTGGGGCCTTAAGAGGCTTACTAAAAACTTGGAGCTTTTTTACAGACATAGTAATAATTGAATGTTATTCTTTTGAAAGTTAAATATTATTATTTGGACTTTTATTCAAAAAAGTGAAACTGAGAATCTACTTCAGTGAAAATAGGCAGATTTATGAGCAGAAAATAGGGGGAAAATATAGTATTTCTGTAAAATTGAGTTTTGTCTACAACTTCTCTAAATTTAGAACATCACAAATAAGCAAGGCAACATTTACTTTGAAAGAAATAATCTACAAATCTAGAGCATGTCAACACAATGGGAAATAACTGTTTTGGAGGAAATATAATTAGATATTGTCAGTAGTTTTTTTCTTTTAATAAAACTTTTCATTGAAGAATAGCATGTACAATTATAACTGTAGAGTTTGCTGAATTTTATAATTAGTAGTTTTAAAATGTGACAAGAGCTGCTTAAGACATTTGTATGTGTGTGTAATTTTGACACTTTTTTAAAGTAACGGATAATCCAACTCAAGCTGGCTCAAAATAGCCAATAATTTATTATTTTTCTGCCAAACAGCAGAGAAATTCTTAGACACGGCTTGATCTAGGACTCAAACAGTGTAATTTGGTTTTAGTTTCTGTCTTTCAGTTCTTAGGCAGGCTTTCTTCTCCTGTTTGCAAAGAGGCATCCAGCCGCTCCTGGCACTGGAGCCAGGAGCTTTCTTCTCCATTCATGTCCAGAAGGAAAAGAAAATCTCTTGATATCTTGTGTGGAAAATGAATGCACCTATCCCTCAACCAGTCATGAAGGGCCAGGGATGGGGTATGAGGACCGATTTGAATCTCACAGGGCCCACAGACCTGGGTAGTCTTACCCTAGCTGAGTGGTTTAGAATGAGGGAACAGTAAGATGCCCAGTAGTTAAATTAGAGAGCTAATGAAAGCAAAAGAGGGGTCACATTCCAGGCAGGCAACCAGCAATTATTCACTACAAAGCGAAAAGCTACAATTTTACAATCTCATTTTATTGATATTCATCAACCGAATTATACATTAACCTACGATTGATCAATTTTATCCCTTTGAAATACAAAATTTTTCCCTGGACTAACTCTGTTTCCTTTAATTCAGGTTAGTAAGAAAAAGCCTCCTGATTTCTTATCAATAAGTCATTCCTAGTGATGTTTCTACCACAAGTTAAAACTCTATAGTTCTATGGAAATAAAAGAAATAAAGGTCCAGTATCGCGATCCTGATGTTGCAATGACATCAAGTTTTTTAGATTATTTTAGAGCCCTAATTCCATGTTTTATTTTCTCTAGAAAGACTATAAAAGAGATCTGGAGACTGAAATTAAAGGGAAGGGCATGCAGGTGAGCACAGACACGCTCGATATCCAGAGAGCTAAGAAAGCATCGGAAATGGCTAGTGAGGTAAGAAATGAATGACGTGTGACGTTTAAAACAAACGCATTGAATGGTATATAGAAAGAATATAAGTGGTATTTCTACATGGGTGGCTTTGAGATTCAGACACATAAATATCTCCATTCTATGGAAGGTTAAGCAAAGCTCTGATGATCATTTTCTGCTCTTTTAGAAAGAATATAAGAAAGACTTAGAAAATGAAATCAAAGGGAAAGGAATGCAAGTGAGCATGGACATTCCAGATATGCTTCGAGCCAAGAGGGCATCTGAAATCTATAGCCAGGTTGGTAAGAGAATGAAGATGCTCAGAATGATGTATTCTAATACCCGGTCACCATGTGTTTTGTGCATTTCTATGATTGATACCTTTTTGAGTGCACTGTATTCAAAGTCAGTGCACTCTATTACAAAGGAACCACTGGCCAAAGTTAATTAAGCTCACTCATGAGAGGGACAAGCGCTGCAAATTCAATGCAACAGACATTATTCAATGTCACAGCTTCTCTGCTGAGGCCCCCTGTTTGGAGTCCAAGGACGTTTTGACCTTTTTCTTTAAACTCTGTTGCACACTTGACGTTTTAATGTTCACACTACAGAAACAAGATTACAAGTGAGTTGTCCTTTATCCATTTTATGATAAATATTATCATTAAAGTAATCAGTTCCAACTAAAACTAAGAGTGAATAAAACTACACAACGTGTAAGATAAGAGTGAATATGAAGAACGAAGTTTTCTTGGTAAAATGCAGTCTGCCAAATACGTGTTACATGTCCTCTAGAAAAAACTGGATATGGGAGAAAGAATGACCACAAAAGAAAATATTTAGTGGAAGAAGTAAAATATGATTTGGGCAAAAAGTTTACTAGAGAAAAATTTCTTTGCTGTGAAATTTACATGGAAAAGAATGAATCCCAATGGAAAAAATAGTAAAGAGAAATGAAAAAAAATAAAATGATTATAGAATACTAAGGAATTAAATTTGGATAATGGGTCTATGCTGAAAATAACTTTTGAGAAAATTTGACTAAATTTGTTAAAAATCTGTTTAAAACATAAGCAAGGGATCTAAACATATATTGGTTCGAAACGTGAGTTTTAAGATGGCAGAGTCAAATGTCAAAGCAGTTGTCTGCTTCTTATATTCCTTGGATGACACAGCAGTTGGCATGGTCCTGAAGTGCATGTTCATCTGTCCTTAGTGTCTCAGGGTGGCACGTGAACTTGAAATTGGTGCTAACTATATCAGCTAAACTAATATCCTAGATAAATACATAAAATAGACAAATGGCCATTTTAGTCAGTGGAGAGAAGTTGCTATCTCAAGAATTCCAAACTCATTCATTCATTCAGCAAATATGTCCTGAGCACCCATTTAAATGCAAAATTAGATACGGTTTTGACCTTGGGGAGCTATAGGCTAATCTAGTAATTGAATAACCATACAAAGAGAGTATTATAAACCATGATATACACAATCAGAAAGTAAGGGAAGTAAAGGCTTCTCAGAGGAAGTGATGGCTGAGCTGTCAGAATTCCTGCTTTGACTTAACAGTTGATTTTTTGAGTGTGACACAAGATACATCTAATTTTAAGGAAATATAATATTTTGGATACAGTGGAATTCTTAAGAGGATATAATGACACTGTGGTGCATTTCAACGGGAATAATAATTACCTTTCTCAACAAGTAACGGTATGCCATATGCTTAACATTACTGATTTTGGAGTCACAGTGCCTGATTTTAAATCCTAGTTTTGACACTTCTTAGTGAATGACTCAGTTTCCCCATCTGTAAGAGGGAGTAATGATAATATTGACTTGTGGGGATAACTAAATGATCTAATGTGTGTTCAATATTTAGAGCAGTACCTGTTACAGAATGAGTATTATGTGAGTGCTGGTACTAGCAGAAGGCATTGTCCAGGTGTCATAACAGTACATTTAGTAGATAAAAAAAAAAACACTGAGATTTTTATCTCAACCACAAAAATACTTGTACCTTTCCCTTAATCAAATACATCTTTTTCTGAAATAAGAAGCAGAGCATAAATCCAGAAGCGTGAAAACAAGTAGGTATAGAGAGCCAGGTTACTCGCAGGAGCTGCGGGGAGACTGAGCAGGGATAGGACAGCCTGTGGAAACACAGAGCGCCATAGAGGTCAAGCTCTCCCAAGGCTGTGGGATGCACTGCGCTGGGAACGACTGTCTGAGCAGAGGTGAGGCTGCTGTGTTTGCATAGTCCCTTTATTTTTGCTGTTGCATCAACAACCGCTTTGAATCATGAGATGTAATTTACAGCCATGTGGTATGGTAGAATCAGAAGTACTATCGTTATCATTTTCTCTCTGTCTCTTGCCTTTCTCACACGTACACCTATGCACGCGTGTGCATGCACGCACACAGAGTAACTGTTTCTATTTCTAGAAAAAGTATAAAGATGAAGCAGAGAAGATGCTCTCTAACTATTCTACTGTGGCAGATACTCCCGAAATTCAGAGAATTAAGACAACTCAACGAAACATTAGTGCAGTAAGTAGCCATTATTTTTTTTCGGTGGCCTCACTGAGGTTTTAGTTTGTGAGGAGAGCATTTTTCTGTTTTTGTTTTTGTTTGCTATATTGCTTGAATTTCCTATTAAATGTATTATTTTTATTTCTTTAATAAGAATGCCAAATATTCTTGCAAATTATACTTTATCATGATTGCTTTAGAATTACAAATTCAAACTTTCTTCATTGGTACAAGCTGTAGTTATTTTTAACTGAATTTTTAAATTTCACTCAGGAAAGAGGAATGGATCATCCAAACAGATTTTACTGTGAAGACACAAATAGTCGTATGAACTGATTTCTTTCCTTTTCATTGATTATTTACACTGAAAATATATCTAGGAATTTATTAGTTTATAACCAATTCCTAAACTTCCACATTTTTATTTTGAGGTATAGGAGTTACATCAGCATCATTAATTGAAAGATTAGGTCTGTGTTTAATAGATAAATGAATTCGAATTCTAAAATTGTGAAAATTCGCCATACAGCCAGCATTTAATGTAGAATTAACTCATTTAGTAGTTAAGCAAATGTCTCATCAAAATGTCTCAGCACACCTGAAGACTTCTAGTATATTTTCTACTTTCTAATGAATTGGCAAGCGCTGACCCTCACGGTGTGCTGGGCAGGTCTTCGTGGTCGGGCTCTGCTGAGAAATGGAGTCTCGTTGGAAGACAGGGTCAGAGAAAAAGGCTGCTTTGGCCTTTACCTCCTGTGATTCTGTCATGTTCCAGATTTCCAGCTTTCGGAAGAAAACATCTCTTACACCCCAACCAGGGCCCACAGGATTACCACAGACTGAAGGAGTAGTTCTGTCCTCACGACTTCCTTATAATTATTCTGTTTTTCTGTAGGGCTCTTTTGCTTTGCTTTGTGTTTGAAAGGGGCGGATGCTGGTGGAGGCGGAGAGTTGTAGAATAACGAATAAGTGGAAGATGAGGAAAGTAGGCTGAGTTATGTTGATGTTGATGATAGATCTAATATTTTCTTTGAAGAGAATGAGGGCATCTTTGTGTTGGGAGAATATCACTTGCTTAAAATTTCATGCTGTTTTTGAATTAAATGATAACCATTTAGTTAGCTTTTATAATATGCACGTTGTTTTTTTCTTAAATATCCATGTGACATTCATATTTGAAGAAGCTTTCTAACATATTCTTAGAGCAAATAATCTGTAGCCACATAAGATACCAGGCATGCCCTAGAATAGGGATCCCTAACCCCTGGAGAGGGGACTGGTACAGGTCCGTGGCCTGTTAGGAACCAGGTCACACAGAAGGAGGTGAGTGAAGCTTCATCTGTATTTGCCGCGCTCTCCAGCGCTAGCATCACCGCCTCAGCTCCACTTCAGATCATTAGGCATTAGTCTCATAGGAGCACCAGTCCCTGGTGCCAACAAGATTGGGGACCACTGCCCTGGAACATGCATGAGAGGGTTATTACTTGTAAGATTATGGCATATGAAACAAAGTTGGACATTTATTCTCATAATGGATTACTTAATTGATTAATGTAACATTGATGCTCATAAGTAGAATCTGTGTTCACATTACTTTAAGACCTGGGAAGTTATCTTTCTTTAATAAGAATCTAATCTAGGACTCAAATTCTAATAAGCGTATAATTACTCTTTTCTTTCTCTCATAATAAAGGTATTTTATCAGAAAGAAGTAGGAGTAGGCACAGCAGTAAAAGATACTCCAGACATTGAATGAGTGAAGAAAAGTCAGCAGAATATTTGAGTTCTTTATGGCATTAATTATCCTTTCCAAAAGCAAAAATAAGTTGGATGAATGTTTTCCATTCTTTACTAAACTGGCTGCCTTTTTCTTTTATTTTTCACTTTGTTCACGTGCTATTTCATCAAATATCAAAGTTCTAACTTTCAGAAGGAAAACTAGCCTTGTTCCTCATGATCCTAAGGCGGGGCCTCATCTTGATATATCATAGTGCATGAGGTAAATCACTTGAATGGTGCAGTAACAAAGTTTAAGATTAGATTTTATCTTTTCAAACAGAATTTTAACCGTATTAAATTTTTCAGAGAAAAGGTAAATCCCAATCCTACTCCACAACTTGGGAGAAAGTAATTTTACCCTGGAAAAATGATTAAAGGCCTAGAACATTTATTCGGTGGTTTAAGAGAAGGTTTCAAAGGCTCCATTTGCTTTCTACTTCTTCCGGTTTCCAGCAAAGAAACATACACCTTCACTACAATTTGTAACTCAATTCCCTTTGAGCCAGGGGGAAGAGTAGAGGGGATGCTTAATGCTAAGAGTATAACCTCTCCATTCAATGCCTGACATTTACAATGGCTTATTGCTATCCTCACCTCAACAGGTATTCTCCAATGTACATGTAATGTATTCAGTTTCTTGTCAAGGAAATCAAAAGGGTTCTTTCCTTAAATCCCCTTCTTGACCTTTCTCTTTACCTTCACCTTGAAGGCAGAGCCTTTTTTAAGTAATCCCGGTAGAACTGCCTTGATTTGACTCACCTGTCAGGAACTCTGATAGTTAACGTGGCATCCTTAGAATATTAGCGTGCACTGGCATTTGTGGAGAAACTTTAGGAAAGGCAAGGTAATACTGTAGTAAAACATGCTTCAAAATGAATTTGCAGAAATTGTACAGAATACGAGTGTAATAAAATCCCTGTAGCATGAATGAAGCGATCTCCTGCAGAAAGCAGAGGAGAAGGGTCTAATGATGAGGCTATATAGATGTGTTCCAATCTACCGTGGTGAGAGCCTGTCTCCGGTGATGCTCAGGTCTAGGAGAGGAATTCGTTTGGCAGAGAAGTGTAAAATGTTTTGTTTCCTTTGCTTTCAAATGATAATATTCGAAACGTACCGTCTGTGTACTGGAATATGGTATTATAAATGTTCTGTAGTGTGCAGCTCTATTGCCTACAGTGAAATGACTGTGCCATTTTGATTAGTTTAGAGTCCTACGGAAAACAAAACTGTTCATCTTTAATCATGTATAACTTCTCACTCGAGGAAAATCGCACAAAGTAGTACAGTATATCATTTCCTCTTGCGGCAAACAATAAATTCATAGTTCTGTGTCTCTGTGTGGTTGGGCCATAAACTCTTGCTTAGTATTCAAATGGAAAATTGCCCTTTCAAGATTAGCTAGATCTGTCAAACCAAGATACGATTCTCTAACATTTAAAGATCTCGACATTTTCTACCTCCAGAGTACAAGCCTCTTAGCTATTAGCTTTCTCTAAGAGCTATTTTTGAATCTTATACTCTCAATTTAACTTTTTTGGATCCAAACTAATATTGGCATTATTACTTATATTAAATCTACAGATACTGAGACATACATGACATCTGAGATATTTAGGTGCCGCTTTTGTTGACTGTCAGCATAGATTTCAGCTTTAATCATTTTAAACATTACCAAGTGATTTCTAAAATATGTTTTGTGTAGATTCAAATCTTTGCTCAATTTCAATTGTGTGCCTCTTAAGTCTAGCCTTTGTTTTCATACATGTAAATACATATGTGTGTCCTTTTTCCTGAATCCAATCTTCCACAAATTTTAGACATTAAAATATCACGTGATATAAGGGCATCGCTAATCATTTTGTAAGTTAAAGAGCTGTTTTGTGTCCCATGTCTCACTGTGTGCTGGCATTACCATTTGTTGAGTTGATGTTCCTCTAAATAAATTTAGAGGAGGAGCTTTTGGGTGAAGTCGATGACTGGACACAGGCTGGCTTTATATAATGCGACTGTGTGGAGAGAAGATACTTTCTGACTTTCGTTCTGCCACTGGCTTCTCTATAGTGATCACGAAACAGTGACCTTTGCTTAATTTAGTACATCCCTCCATCTCCCTTTTGCTTCTTTTATTGTAGCCACTTTAATTTTTTCCTTATTCTGGATTATTTGAGTGCTATCAGTCAGATAAGCAGTGTTTCCTAGACTGTGTAGCTGACTCATTTTGATGTTTGCCTTTAAATACATGGTAAATTTTAATTAACATGTTAACAAATAGAAACTGCAGTTTGGATAGAAAATAATAAATTATTATATTACTTAACATAATTTCCAAGGTATTTTTGTGCATGTGCTTACTGATAAAACATTTTCATAAGCAACACTTGCTTAGTTTAATTAAAAAAAAAACTCTTACGAGGATGGATAGGTAAATAGATATAGGCTTATTTGCACTGTATATAAAGGAATCCTGAAAGTATCAGATAAAATAAAAAATTGTGTTCTCATTAAAGGAAAATTAATGTTGGAATAATAAATATTCAATTATGCAAATAAAGAATTCTTAACTGTTCTATAAGCCTTTGGTTGAATAAAACTCACATTATTTTGTTTTAACAAATTATGCAGGTGAAATACAAAGAAGAGATAAAACATGCAACAGCCATTTCTGATCCTCCGGAGCTAAAGAGAGTTAAAGAAAATCAGAAGAACATCAGCAATGTGTGATCATATTTCTCTAAGTATTGTTTTCTATTTTACTGGCTGGCACCACACAGTGAGGGCATGCCATTTGGACAGGTGATGTCCCATTATAATGAATACCATTGCAGGAGGGCCATTTCTTGAAAGGTAGAGATAAGACTTCACACATCTTTATGTTTTTCATCATCCCTCGCTCAATGCTTCACATACATTTGCTTTTTAAAAAACACGTTATTGAATTCCTACTGTATTCTTGGGGGAATTCAAATGAGTGAGTATACCCTAAGGTCAGGGGCTGTGAAGGTTCTCAAGGTTTCTAGGAGAAAGAGACATGAAAATACATAACGATGATGCATTGTTTAAGTGTTATAACAAAAACTAATATTTATTGGGTGTTTACTGTGCTTTTGAGTACTTTACATGCAATATCTCATTTAATAATAAGTAATTCCTCCTGCGCAGTGTCGTGGAAATGCAGAGAAGGGAAGCTGTGTCGGTGAGAGAGAGGAAAACCCTTGGAGAAGGAGTAACCTTTGAGCTAGATCTTAAAGAATTAGTAAAGGCTTGGGGTGGATTTTGTGAGGAAGGGCCTTCCTGGCAGGAGAAACTGAGTATGTCCAGCATGCAAGGCTTATTCTAGGAGGGGAAGGTTTAGTGTGATGGGCACCTGGGGTGAAGGGTGGCACGAAATGACAGTGGAGAGAGAAGTGATCTAGGTCACCAGGAGGCAGTTGGGAGTCTCGCAGGGTCCCAGTACTGTTAAGTGGCCTGCCAGTGATCAGGTTTTGACTTAGCGATTAAATTGTCTTACGTGTCTCTTGTTCAAAAAGAAGGGTTATTAGTTTTCAGTTTATCATAGAAACTTAACACTCCCTTAAAAGTAACTTTATTTGAAAATAATAGTGAGTTAATTAGGCGAAAAAATGTACTATAAATGGCAGCACAGGTGATATCTGGCATGGCATATGGTAAGTGCTGTGCAAATGGTGGAAATCTGAGTAACACCGGAATAGTGGGGACGAGCGTGGACCCCGGCCAGGTGGTTCGATCCCAGCTCCAGACCTTACTTGTATAACCTTCATAAGCCACCAACTTCTCTGGGCCTCAATTTCCTCACTCATAACACAGGGACTAGAGTATGCAGTGAGATATCGCCTGTAAAGCACTTAGCAAGTTTGTAAATAGATGAATGCAAGGTATGAACAGTCTCCATATTAAATTTATGTCCCCAAACTTATATCCACTAGAGAGTGGCTGCAATAGCCTCTCTAATTCAGTAATGCTGTTCTATAGATTTTATCCCTCTGAGCTCCGCCCAGAGCAATCTCCTTCTATGTTGCTGTAAATACAGATTACACTGGACCTTTCCCCACTTTTACTCAGACGATTTTCCCAGACACAAAATCTGCCTGAACTCAGAAACTACATACCATGGCACAAAGAAAGTCTCATATCATGGGAGAGGGCCTGTCCCTTTTTCACTTATTTTTCCGAGCTTATCCAACACCTCTTCACTTGCTCGTTCACTACTAAGGGTGAAAATCTCAAGCTTGGTGATTTCTTGGAAAAGAAGTTCCCTAATGCTAAATTTAAATTCTGAAGAAAAAAAAAAAAAATCACTGAGACTGTTCCTGTGGAGTTCAGTATAATGGGATTTTAACCTTGAGTTTTACTTTTGCCTGTCAAAAATTTAATTGGCAGGCATACCTTTCTTTTCCTCTGGGTGGGATGCTTATTTATTTCCTGAGGTGTTGCAGAACGGCCGAGGAAGCTGACCACAAATGATGGGTCTGATCCCCAGGCTAAGAAAGGGCCCCTCCATGCAGGAGGTCAGCGGGCTGGTCCTTCCCATGTAGGAAGGGTGCAAAGAAGGAAACTTTGACGTTCAGGATTCCTTTGTACCGTGACCGTACATCACTGAGGTGCAAGCATAGCCCTGGTACTGCCCTGCTTTCTAATGATAAGAATGCAGAATTATTCTTTCTAAATATAAAATAGTAATTTAATAAATGTTGCTTTAGTGCTACGAAGAAACAAATTCCCAGAAAGGATCATTTATTATGATTAAATACTGATGAGATCGAATACATGATACAATTGGAAGAGTAACAAACAACCAAGGGTGGAATTCAAAACATTTGGATAAGAAAAAGCTTAGTCTGGGATCAGTATGATAACATCTCTTAGCGATACGCATCTCACTCTTAAATCCTAATGAAAATTTTAACTAATGAGTGCTCTGGAGCTGTGTACATTTCTTCTAATGTATTCCAGTACATGGGTCCACATGTCCTTTCCATAACCTCATACGGCCTTGTACCTTGTCTCCCAGCTCCAGTACAAAGAGCCAAGCTACAGGGCAACCCCAGTGAGCGTGACACCAGAGATAGAGAGAGTGAAGAGGAACCAAGAGCAGCTGAGTCCGGCAAGTTATTTCTGTTTTCTCATATTTTACCAAACATTACCTATTTTACTCTTCAAAACACTCTCTGGAAAGCTTTGAAACCTCTATAGCAGATGGTCCTTTTCCTAATCGTATATAAAAGGACACAAACTGTGGCCCTCTCATGTGAGCCCAGGAGAGTGAGGACTGTCTTGCTATAATTTAGCCATGTTTGTTTATTCAGGAAATCTTCGTTAAGTAGCCCAACATGCCAGACATTTTCCTGATCACTGGTACACAAAGATGGATAAGACCCAGTTTCTGTCCTCATGGACCTCATAATTTATTGGTAAATCTCTAAAACTCCATATAGTTAAGGACCTGGAGAACAGTGGATCTGTTATGAATCTCAGAAAAAATTACCTATTGGAACAGGGCAAAAGAAGACCTGGCTTGATTGGGGTTCTACGACATGCTGTCAGGGCAGGGGGCCTCATGAGTAAAACAGAAAACATTATTCGATTGTTCAATAATCTGTCGCTAATAAAGCAATGATAGTTGGCCATCATGAGGTACCGCTGATACGGACCCTGTACTAAGTGTCTTACCATGAGGTTGGCACAATTTATTTCTCTGGCTAGTCTGTGTCTCAGGGAGGTCAGAGGACATGCTGGGACTCCACAATTTATAAGGGATTTGAACCCAAGCTTCCAGGAATTCAGAAATCTTTTCAAAGATGCCCCTACCATAATAATTTTTTCCATTGTCTGATCCTTTTATGGAACTTTTATCAATATAAACAGTAGCCTTCTTCTTACAAAAGATAACTTTGAAAGACTTTGTAATTTATTTGAGTGAGTTCTCCCAGGTGGAGGAGAAATTTGGGGTGAGCACTGCTTTGTCCTTTTAATATCCCTGGAAGGTGGTGAGAGTAAGAAATTTTTAGCTTCTTTTTTTGCTTTCATTTTTCTTTGTCCTAATCTATTTATTTATTCGGCAGATATTTATTAAGCTCTCGATGCATGCTAAGTATTCCACTATCCATCAAGTGTAAAAAAACAAAACCATCTTGGCCTCACACTCACAGAGACCCTATAAAAATAAAAATAACAATAATGAGGAAGCAGAATATAAAATAAGGAAACAACATATGTAAAATTTCAGCTGGGATTTCCACTATTAGAATTCCCTGTCCTGTAACCACAAGAGTCTTGGAGAATGAGACAGATTTCCCAGTTTTTGAGAATTTTAAAAATGAATTAATTTTAAATTTGTAGTTGACATACAGTATTATGTTGGTTTCAGGTGTACAACATAGTGATTAGACATTTATAGAACTTATGAAATGAGCACCATGATAAGTCCCGTACCCACCTATCTGAAGCTTACATAGTTATTACAACGCTGTTGACTATGTTCTCTGTGCTGTACTTTACATCCCCGTGACTATTTTTATAACTGGCAGTTTGTACTTCTTAAGCCTTTCAACTTTTTTCTTCCATGCCCCCCACTCCCTTCTCTTTAGCTTTTTTTGAAGATGGAAGCCCCAGGGTCATCAAGAGGGCCAGTGGCCTTCCCAGGTTGCCATGGCAACCTCGCTGTTATTCTCTTATAATGATTTCATTCCGACGTGTTTTCCCCTTATAATTTCACTACTTTCCGTCTTGGAATTTTTGCAGCTAGTTTTGCTATGGAACAACAAATTGTTTATTAAAAGCTCATTTTGAGAAGCACAGCCAACACTCGCGCTTGCCAAATCCGACGAATCAGAATCCAGGGGTAAACACGAACAGGAAGGTCGATGCATATCTACGATGGAAAAAAAATGTATAAAAAGATAGAGTTAATTCTGAGGTTTATCCTCTGTGGTATATGGGTGGAGACCATTCTGTTCTCTATTAAAATTCTTATTTATCCTCCACAGGTAAAATACAAAGGAGAGATCAAACAGGCAACCGCAATTTCTGACCCACCAGAGCTGAAGAGAGTTAAAGAAAACCAGAGGAACATCAGCAATGTGTGATCTTAGCAGCTTCTTTCATATGATATCAAACATATTGTCAGCATGTCAACGAAGGGATTATTCTACAAAATATTCTTGACCTTGAGCTGATTTTGAGACCTGCTTTCAATTGACTGCCAATTTATTTGAAAGGTTTCAGGG